AATTACAATTCTTAAATTGATGACAAAAATACCTGTAGGATTTGCAGCTGGTTGGAAAAATACAGGTAACTTTATGCTTCGAGTAGGTACTTTTTTTTTTTATTAGTGTAGATATGGTTATAACCATATTATGGCATATACAGTTTAATAATTTTTTCGAGTAGGTACTTTTGTCACCTGCGCGCAGTTTGCAGACGCGACTAGCACTAACCATGCCCAATGAGACTGCTGACTGACTGGCTCACTCAACTCGTGCATGAATCACCCGCGCCTCCCCCGCGCTGCGTATCCTGCGGCCCGGCCCGCCTGCGCCGCGTCTCTTGTTGCCCGACCCATCGACACCCCCCCCTTCTTCTAACGCCACTTCTTCAAAATAGACTCGCCCAGGCCGAAAACCAACTTCTGCGCATGGGCCACGAAGTTTCAATCGCACTGTACGCACGTGGTATTTTGTGGAAGAGCCACACTCAAGGGGCCAAAGAGCCGCATGTGGCTCGCGAGCCGCGGTTTGCCGACCACTGGTCTAGTGCATGTTTTTTTGGTAAACAAATACACTCATCTCTATTGGGGGTTGTGGAATTGCTGGGTTATGGTGTAGGCACATGTTGAGTTTTAGTTCTTACTGCAAAGCAGTTTTCCATAATGGTTGACCATTTGATACTCCGACTAGCAGCTATTCCTTAACATCATTGTCAACACTTGGCTGTCAGCCATCCTGGTGAGTGGGTTTAACTTGCATTTCCCTGTAACTAATGAGATTGAGTGTTCCCTGGTTGTGTGGTGTCTTTTCCTGTGAGGTGCCCTTGTTCTTTTCACCCTGGTGGTTCTCCTCTAGCTGACAGCTACAGCTCTGGCCCAGGCCTTCAGCAGACTCAGATCCGGACAGCCTAGGGAGCAACAGGGAGTGGGGGTGGGGCCATGCAGGTGCTCTCCACTGTGGGCATGCTGTTTTCAGGCCATTGGCCAGGGCAGGCCCCCTGTGTGCGGACACTTGGCCTCTAGAGGCTGGTCTCTGACCTCCATCGCAGCTCCCCAGGGAGCGGGCCATCCTCTTGGCTGAGGTGCCTGGTGTTTCATCACCGCAGGACTGCGTCACAAACACCTCAGCAGAGGCGCCACCCTCAGTGGGAGGACAGGGCAGGATCCAGGCGGGAAAACTAGGGATCTTCCAGTTCCTCCCCTTGCCTTAGCCCAAGCTACTGCTGGCTTCTTAGTCGCTGAAATGAGAATGTAAAAAGTGACTGGTGTGCCGAGCATGGGCCAGGGCCTCCACCACTGCTTAGCTGGGAGACCCAAGGTAACTGCTTTCCCTCCCTGTGCTTCTGCCGACCCCAGGTGTGGTCACTGCCTCTCTGGTGGGTGGTTGGGAGCATTTAACACATTAAGCGCCCTGTCAGTCACCGGTGACGGACACTATCTTTCCGTCCAGAAGACAAAACGGGCTGGGCGCTTAACGTGTTAAGAGAGACTCCATGGGAACGCTGTCACCCTACTCACAGCCACCCAGCTGGCAGTGACTCCCGGACTCTGCAACCCTGACCACTCCAGGTCACACGTGGCTGCCTTCACTTCTCTCTTTCCCATCACAGCAGCCATGTGTTTGCGGGTTCTTAGGGGCTAGGCTGTGGGCTGAACCTTTGTACACACTGGGCGCGTCAGTGCTGAATCACGGAGGCTCCTTGAGGTGAAATGAAGTTGCTGGGTTGGGAAGGGGAGGGGAGAGGAGCGCTGAGATTGGACACCAGGCCCTGTCCTTTCCTTCCACAGCGCCCTTCCTTTGGACTCTGGGTCCATCCCAGCCCTTTGGGAACTATTCCAAACTGAACTCCCTCCTGGGAAAGTGCAATATTGGCCCCTGTGTTGGGGAGGAATTCCCTAAGCTCCCACTGCAGCTGCCCGGCCCTAAGTGTGCTCCCAGGGACCTCTCCTGGCTTCTGACCTGCAGCCACGTGGGCCCTTGGCAGTTCTCCCTGCTCACAAGCTCCTTTCTGCTTCAGGGGCTTTGCACTTGCTGTTGCCCTGCCTGGAATTCTTTTGCCTACATTTCAGGACTCACCCTGCTCACATGTCCCCCACAGCATGTGGCTAACATAGCTCCTTTCCCTGCCGTCCTTTTCTCTTGCTTTATTTTTATTCTCAGCGGGGTCGCCACCACCTGCCATTGTTATGTGTCTGCTTCCCCCACTGAAATGTGTCTTAGTGATGCTCTGTGTCTGGCACCCAGGATAGTCTCTAGAACTTAGGACACCCTCAAACAAATTGGTGGCATGATTAGACTCTGGAAGTGTTTCTGTGGCTGTGTCTGTTCCTGGGCTGGGGAGTGGGGGGCGTCTACTGGGGAGACGTGGATTCATTCATTGTGTACTCAGCCGATACCCAGACGTGGTGCTGGCTCACTGTGAGCACTAGCAGGTGTGGGGAGAATTGGTTGAGGAAGTGCACAGAGGGCACCCAGTGAAGCCTCTGAGGTCAGGAAGGCTTCTTGGAGGAGGAATCGGTTCAGCTGAGACCTCGAGGAGGGAGAACTCACGAAGGTGTGGGGGATGGAGGCCAGAGGGAAGGGCCTAAGTGACAAGCAGGCAGAGAGTAGGATGGGGGAAGAGGGATTGGGGAGGTGGTGCCAGCTGTAATCATTGTCATGGTCATTAGCCTTTATTGAGGGCTTTCTAGGTGCCTCTTGGCTCACAGGGAGAGAAGGCCAGATTTAGATGGAATGTAGGAGCTGAGTGCAGAGGTTGAGAACCCAGGGAGAAGACTGGTTAGGGGAGAGGAGAGGAGATGATGGGAGGTGAGGGAAGGTGGGGCCCGGTGGGAGAAGTGGTTAGGAAGCTGGGTGGCTGGGACCCACTGGTCAGCAGGGTAGGAGACAGTGGAGTACAGGCGGGCGGAGGCCGGGTCCTGAAGGGCCTTGAATCCCAAGCCTAGGAGCTTGTCACTTTCCCGAGGCCAGTGGGAAGCCACGGGAGGGTTTTGAGTAGGGGAAGGACAGGGTTAGGTTTGAGGGTCCTTCTAGCTGTGGAATCGGGGAAAGATAGAAGGGGAGGAGTCCAGGGGGCAGGTATAGCGGGACCCTGCTGGGAAAGGATAGCGCTGGCCCTGAGCCAGACTCAGGGAGGGCTGGATGGAGAAACTGGTCACATTAGTGATTAAAACAGACTGGTGGGATATTGAGGATGGAAGGTCTGACAGTCCTGGGTATTGGGTTCATGGGGTGTGAGTCCTTTGGGGGGCCTGTCATGCCTGCTGGTGAGGGGAGCCCCTGTTGCTGCTTCTGGCCCTGTCTTTGCAGGTTGGAGTTCAGAACATGATTTCTCAGCCCGCTGTTTACTTCCCTGTCACTGTTCATCTTGTCTCTCCCCTGCTTCCTCCCACTTACCTTCTTCCCTCTGCCCAGCCCGGCAGCTTGCCACGGTCACATGCCAGGCAGTAGTGTGTCCAGCCCACCAGCTCCCCTGGGGCACGGGAGAAAGCTGATGCCCACAGTGTCCCTAGAGGCAGCTGCCACTTCTCTGGGGGCCACCGTAGCTCCTGACCTCCTGTCCGCAAATAACCCTAGGCGAGGAAAGGCGAAAGGCGCCTTGGGCTCTGTGGCTCGTGGCTCCTGCCCAGGCCTGCAGCTCCAGGTAGGGGCCGGGCTGGTGGCTGCCTCCTGTCCTTCTCCCCTCCACCCTCCCGCCTGGGAACCTGAGACAGAATCAGCAGCCTCGGCGTCTGTCAGTCTATCAGCTGCTGGTCCCTGAGGACAGAAAGGGAGGTCTTGGGGAAGGAACCAGGGCCTTGATCAAGCCCCCAGGACTGGCTCCTGGGCCCCAGACAAGTGTCTGCACAGTAGGTTGCTTTCCTGGAGCACCTGAGGCCCTCTTTTTTTTTTTTTTTAATAGGGGCAAGGAGGGACCTGAGGCTGCGGCTGACATGGGGTGGCCTGAGGCAGGGGAGTGGGAGTACTTGGTTTGCTAAAGATGGCAGGTTGTTGGCCTGGTTTGGAAAGGAGAGAGTGAGTGAGGGTGTGTGTTTGCTGGGGGGTAGCAGGCAGATGCTGTTGGCTTTGAGCACTCCCTCAGGTGCCCAGGGCTGTCTGATTCATCTAGGTTACCTCAGTGTTGGGGCATGGGAGTGACGCTGGGGGTGGGGCCATAGCTCCCTTACCACCCTCCCAGCCTGGGGTGAGGGTGGGTGGATGGGCTGCTTCTGCTCAGTGTGGGTGTTGTGGGTGTTGAGCACAGGGTCTGGCCTGCACATAGGCCAGGGAGCTCTGATCCCTGCAGAGTAGGGCTCTGTGGCCAGGGTTGTGTCCTTCCCGCTCCCCCACCCCTAGGTTGGGGTCCCCGGAGACACAGCCACATCCCCCCCACTCCCACCCACTAGTTCTCCCACTCTCACTGGCTCCACCATGTACAGAACAAACAGCATCCACAGGGGCCACAGAGCCTGGAGGTCCCCTGGGAAGGGGCTGGGGCCCAGTCTCCCTCCAACTCTGATGAGCTCCTCTCTTGTCTTGCAGATTGTGCTCTGTTCCTGCATGTCCTGCTGCCCTGAACTGTCCTGAGCTAGGTGACAGCGTGTCACGCTGCCACCATGAACGAGGTGTCTGTCATCAAAGAAGGCTGGCTCCACAAGCGTGGTAAGGGGCCACTTATGCCTGTGGGATTGTGCATCTCTCTCTCTCTCTTCCTTTCTCCCCCTCCCCCTCCCTCCCCCTATTAACTTAATTAGGGTACTCCTAAGCTGGCCTTTGCTAAAAAACGTCTTCCTCTCCCCCTCACTTTCCTCTCCCCCTCCCCCTCCCCTCCCCTCTCCTCCTGGCAGCTGATGTTGTGAGAGGCAGAGGTGCAGGGTCTTCACAGCATCCCAGCCAGTAGCTCTTTACCACTCATTTCATGAAATCCTTCAGCAGTAGTCTGGGCAGAAGAGCTGTGGCTCTGCCTGGGGCCAAGTCTCCAGGTCTGCCTAGATACTTTGCATGAGCCCACAGGCCAAGCCTTGAGCTCTGCTTCTGCACTAGTGATTTCATTCATAGCCCCATTTTATAGGTAAAGAAACTGAGGCTCAGAGAAGGGAAGTCACTTAATTGAAGTAACACACTCATTCAGCAAATACTCATCGAATGTGTGGTTTATGCCAGGGTGTCCCAGGCTCTGGAGACAGCGTGATGCCCTTATGGAATTTCCATTCCATTGCGAGGTGGGGACAAACAAACAAATATGCAGACATGTGATGGTAGTGGTGATAAGTACTGTTGTGAAAATAGAAACTCTGAGAGGGAAGGGGCTGGAGAGAGATGGGTGGTCAGGGGAAGTCGTTCTGAGGAGATGAACAGAGGCTGGAGCAGGTAAGGGAGCGGGGTAAAGGTGACACAAGGACAAAAGTGGAAGTGTGGCTGGAGCAGAGAGTGAGGGAGGGAGAGCAGGAGGAAGTGGCACAATGGAAGTCTCTAGGTGATTGGAAGCCGAGGAGGTTTTGAATCGTGGTGTCACCGATCTGGTATTCTGGTGAGCAGCCAGTGACTGAAGGTATTTACAGGGTAAAGACTAAGAGACAGACCTCTAGGTCCCAGGCTGCCCGTCCATAAAACTGTGGCACTTACCAGCTCTGCTGCTGCGTGCAGCTGGGAAGAAGCACAAGCTGAGAGCTGGCTTGTCCAGGCTGAGGAGGAAGGAGGCAGGCTGTCCTGGCCTCCTGGACCTTCCTCTAGGGAGGGAGGGTTTCAGGCCTGTGATGGCTGCTCTTTATGTACTTTCATTCAGCAGACATTTATTGAGCAGCTGCTGTGTTCCAGGCACTTATCTGGGCACTGGGAATATAGCAGTGAACCAAACAGGCAAAATCCCTGTCTTCATGTTCATGTCTTACATTTAATGGTGAGGGCAGTGGCACTGGTGGTAAGTGCCATGGAGAAAAACCAAGCATCGTGTACAGGAGGGGCTGTGAAACAGGCAGGGGGCACTGTCATAGACAGGGTGGTCAGAGAGAGCCTTGCTGAGAGGGGCCCATTTGAATAAAGACCTGAGGGAGGCAAGGGAGTGAGTCCCATGGCTAACGGAGGCAAGAGCATGAGGGTGAAGGGGACAGCCCACGAGTCTGGAGAGGGGGGTGGACAGGCATGTTTGAAGAGGGCAGGGAGGCTGATGGGGCTGGCCTTTAGGGAACAGGGAGAAATGCCCACCCCTCCTGCCCTGTCCTAGGCTGCAGACAGCAGTGATGAGGGGCAGAGGCAGTTCCCCCGGGCTAGGCCTCCCCCATCAGACTGGGCAGGGAGATCTATTCCTGTTGCCCTCAAAACAGGGGTGTCATTCAGGACATGTCAGTCTACCTCTCAGATTGGGCCTTGTGTTTGGGGCCATCGATGGAACTTTCTGAACCTGGGCAGATGTCAAGGTTCTAACCCTGGCTCTGCCACTTCCTCTTGGTGTGACTGTGAGTAAGCTGTCACCTCTCTGAGCCTTGGTTGCACATTTGTAAAATGGGTTAACAACGCAGGCCTCTGACGCTGTGAGCTCCTTGAGGGCAGGGGTTTGATCCAGCTTGTTTGCTGCGGTAGCCCCAGTGCCTAGAAAAGACATGGCATGCAGTAGGTGCTCAGTAACCAATTGTTGAATGAATGGTTGAGGTTGTGTGTGTGTGG